AATCAGAATATGACGTTCAAATGAAGCCCATGCTAGTAAAAGCAGATTGATTGTCCAAGTACTATGAGCGATAAATTGCCATATATAGCAATAAGCACCATTCTCAAAAAGTACTCTGCCTCGCTGATAAAAATATACCTGCGATGGAATATCCAATATGTTACAAAAAAATTGAAGAATTAAGATAATGAAAAGACTGTAATTATTCGGTGCTGCACGCTGAGTTTTGTGAGTGAGCATGTAAACGATGATGAAAACATAACAAATGAATGATGGTACTCCAAGTACAAGTAAAATATTGGATCTCATCGATGCACTAATTAGAAGAACAGAAGTGTTTTGTTGAGTGTTATTGGCTTCATTAATAGTTTGTTTTGAATCCACTTGCATCTTGAATGTTAAAGTGTAATAACTCACTATGTAAAGACAACTACTTTACTTTAAGAAATTCACGGTTTGTTTCGTTGAGCTGTAAGAATTTTTTTTTTGTAGCACAGTTCTCACATACACCTAGATTATATAAAAATGTCTAAAGGATGATTGTCATCTAATAAGGTGACAGAGAAGAAAGCATTGACGTCATTCGTCTGACGATTTATATATTTGTTTAAGTTCAGTCATGCACAGAACATGTTAGCATCCTCATGCATGCATGTATGAAGAATTTTTTGACAGCTAACTAAGTGATTAGTGCAATATTAATTATATCTGGCATTTACTTTGAAATAAACAAAAAAATGGAAGCCGTGATACTCTGTATAAAGTTGAACATACACTCTAAAAACGTTGTTCCCTAAAAGAATCAAAATTTTTTGAAACGTTTGAGCAAGCCCATAAGTGTTTCGGAAAGGCTTTTCGACCTCGTAAATTGTAGTCACAAAGACATTTTTGGTCTTCGAAAGTTTCGGGAATTTAAAAGTTTTCATTCATGCAAACGTTATCGATATTGTTGATTTAGCAACCGAAAGGCTGTTGAGAGATTTGTTTTCAGTTTCTGAAGTAGTTTATCGAAAGCTAAAATGGTTTTTGAAAATCTTGAGCCTAAAACCTAACCTCAGAAACTTAAATCGGTAGTGGATGTGTGGCATGGATGTGGCATGGATGTGGAATAGATGTTTTCTTCATCCAAACACACACCTACATTGTACAACTCATTCATGTAAAAAAAATTAAAAATCGACCATCATAGCACTATTAAAAGCTCATTGTGATCATATTTTCAGCCTTCATAGACAGATTTCATTTGATGTGGTCTTTTTTAATCAATTTTATATCTGATTGAAATCAGATTATATTAGTGCCCTTATAATTGATTTTTATTCTTTTCTTACAACCCTTTTCTTAGATGGATACACTCACACCCGCACTCTATGTTTAATGAAGATCTTGAAAGAGAGAAATGATTTCGATATTTTATTACTAGGACATCGATTGAAGAGAAAGAATATGATTAAGAAACATGTGAACACTTTATTGTCAGATTGAAATGTCATCGCTTGTCAATATTACCGAACTATTCAAATAACAGAAAATTCATTATTATCAAGAAATCTAAAACAGTTTGAACATCCATTCTTTAAATAGAAGTAGCCTTATTCTCTCTTCTTTGATTGTTTTTTGACCACTCGAGAAATACTTGTTACATGTGCGAAATAATTTTCTTCAACTGATAAAACAATATGGTATTCACATAAAAGCATGAATTATTGCGAATTTCTATCTATCAAACAGTCTCTTTTGTGATGTTTAAAACTTGTTGAAGCAATGCAAGCACATCTCAACCATTATAGTTATTGTGTTGCAAGACGTCCTGGTGGTAGAAGATTATAGTATGGATAGATCGAAGAAAATTTAATAGGCGAATACTTTTAGCACAGTTCCTTATGACGTTTATTAGAACATCATACTAGCTAACAGATGTTCAACAAGCTAAATGAATTCGAATATGAAAAGATATTGCACGTTATTTAAATACGATCCATGACAATTATTTGATATAACGATAGATAATCAATTATCCTTGCATCATATAAAAAATGATCGAAAGTAGTCGAACGATACTCTTAGATACTAAGCGGTGTAGGTGTGGGGTGTGGATGTAGAAAAGTTTCACACCCACGCCCCACACCCACATCCACACCCCACACCCACACATCCACATCCACATCTACACCCACACACCCACACCCGTTTCATCACTGACATGAATAAAATACTAAAAATACAAATAACTATCCAATAAGGATGTTGGTTTTGGTGAATTATTTAGTCTCACTCACATCCGCACCCCACAACTTAACTATTCAGTCAAATTAATTGATAAAATATAATAAATTGCTCTCGTTTTTATTCACCATGGGAAAAGTATGTACTATATCTAGAACAATTACAGTATATATAGATCACACGTAATCTTTTACCGTTAAACAACAAACATTAAAAATTTAGGTTACTAATGACATAGATAGCGATCCTCAGATGTCAACAGAAAAAAAAAGACTTTCAAATGAAATTCAATGCATGTATTTTTTGAGAACACTAATTGCATGAAGATCAGTCCGTATTAGAAGGATCTTCTACTTTCAAGCAGGCATGTAAAGCATCGTCTGAGACTGAATGAAGATAAAGAGAAGATCCAAACCGACATTGTCATCCTAAAAAAACTATCGAAACGAAATTTGACAAATCAATTTAAATGTAATGATATGCATACTCGCTATTTGTTACACATGATATAAACACTAAATATTGTTGAAAAGCCCCAAATATCTCGGGTCAGAACAGTACTGCCAAGTTCTATCGACTTTTGAAGTTTTCTCGATCGAATCAACTCGTATGATTTCATTTGGAAGTAACAAAATAGTTATGATAGAAGTTTCAGTGAAAACGTCTCAATGAAATCAATTTGTTTGCTGTTTGAAAAAAATGAATATCGTCTAATCAGCGTTATTACGAACGAATTCGGAAAAGCCTATATGGAATAATTTGAGTTACTAAATTCAATCACACAAAAATTCAATACAAAAAAAAATTGTTTCACTAAAAATTTACTTTTCTATAACAGTTAAATAAATAGAAAAATTAAGATTGATACATTTTGAAAGTGTTGAAAAAGTTAATAAGCTTCTTAAAAAAAAACATATCATTTTCATTTCAGTCTTCTGGAAATTCTTCATATTAGCAAAAGTCCAAGTCAGACAATAGCATTTCTAACCTAGAAAGTTCTAATTAAGTTATTTACGAATAAACGATTCAAATATCTTTACCTATTAGAACTCTAAACAACGTGAAAATGGAAGAATATTGCAAATGAAATTGTGACATAATCAAGGCTACTAGGAAACTACGTTCTAACCTATTAGAAACATATTTTAACGGAAAGATATTATCAATCACTAGATCTTCAAAAGTCTCCATTCATGCGACTCTACATTAGACTATTTTGTTTGAAAAATCTTTGATAAAACCGTCCGTTATCGAAGTGCTTTCTCAATCTATGTGAACTTCTTCGACTTCTATTTAAGATTCTCGATGTTTTTCAATGAACTATTCGTTGTCTGTTCTCTGAACTATCTTTTCACATGTATAATTATATTACATACATTATATACATGTGCTTGTCAATGAATCACATTTCTCTTTGTATTTTTGTACTAATATAAAAACAAAACACCTTTCACGTGCAAGAAAGTCCAGAGCAAGATTAAAAAAAACGAAAAACGAAAAAAGAACAATGAGTCGTTGAGTAGCACATGTATGTAATATAATTATACATGTGAAAAAATTGTTTCGAGAAAAGACAATGAACAATTAATTGAAGAACATCAAGAAATTTAAATCTCAGTCGAACAAGCTCCCATAGATCTAGATAGGATATTGATCATTCTTTTGTAGTGAAAATTATTGTTCCTGTTAAAATCTACGTGACTAGGACGGGAGAATATGCTTACAGAGTCTTTTGACGACAAACAGTAAAGCCTGCGAAATGATGTTCTACTTTTTTATGAAGAAAATAGCTTGATGTAAAGTCTTTTAGATAAGACACATGCATCTTCAATGTGAAAGATTAACTCGAAAATTTCGATAAATTAGTATTCATTTCAAATTCAAGGAAGAGTGTGTATTTTTTTAATTGTTTTTTGAGTAGGAACTAGAGATAGTGAGGTCTGCAATTTTTACCGTTTAAACGAGAAAATGAAACTACATAGAATCATGAATACCAGATTGTTTTTGATAAGTTTTCTCAGAGCTACCTGCCAAGCTTTTTAAAAAATCAAAGCATTTTTGATAGATTTAGAAATTCAATTTTTTATGAAAAATCTTCTGAAGACGCTTAGTAAAATTTTAATTAACTCGTAATTGGTTAAATCTTTTAATGTCGAACTTCTATAGATTATTGAAGTTTAGTTAACAATTCTAGTGTAGCATGGAACATAAAACTGCCAAATCATTTAGATTACACAATATTTTCTGTTTTAGAAACTTGATGGATGTACCTGAGAAAACTTGTTAGAAAAATTTGGTATTCAACTTTTGATATAGTTTCAATTTCTCTTTTTAGTTCCCATTAAAACCTATTCCAAAACTACTCATGCTTTCTTTTATTTTAAATGAATTTCTTAGCTCCACAAGCCTTTTATAAAATATTTTATAAGATCTTCATTTTTCTAAAATAGGTTTTTCATTGATGACAATATCTAACTAGAAAACATTTCCATGTTTCACTAGTCTAACCAATCAGTAATGGTAACTTCTATCGTCTATTTATAATTTATTCATCCTTGACTAAACTACAATGGTTATTCAATTTTTTCTATTTCAGGTAAACATAGTCTCGATGTTTCTTTCTCAATAACCAGTCACATGCTCTTTTTTATTCTTTCTTTTCTATTATTATTGACAAAGATTGATGATGAGTCCGTATATCTTCGTTTTGAATGATGGCTATGAAAGTAATAAATAATTATATCCAATCATCTTGTATTTTTTTAAGGTATTCGATGGCTCAATTACAAGTGAATGTTGTTGAAGGACGAAATTTCAAAAAGAAAGATTTGTTTAGTAGCAATGATCCTTTTCTTCAAATTTATCTTGATGATAAAAGTCAAAAACAAAAAACTCAAGTAAAATCTAATACAAATAATCCACTGTGGAATGAAATATTTTTTTTGTAAAATTTTGGTTTTTTTCTTCTTATTTCGTTTTTATCTTTGTGCTCTTATTTAGTAACCATTTACGAGGACAAAATATTCTTCATATCGATGTTTATGATAAAGATTTCTTTAGCAATGATAAAATTGGTTCAGTAGAAATCAATTTAGAAAATTTATATGAAAAAGGTTATTTCATTTTTGAATTCGATCTTTTTGTTTTCATAATTCGAATTATTTTTCTTTATCTTTAGGTCATATTGATAATTGGTATAATCTTCCATCGAAATCTGGTGAATCATCTCATGGTGAAATTCATCTTATACTTGATTATCAACCATTACAACATTAAATTTTTTACTACTGAAGTTTTTTTTTTTTATTTTTAAATAGTTGATTCTAAATAAAAATAAAATTCTTTTCATTGATGTTTTATCGAATGACAAAGAAAAATAAAAAGATTGTTTTAAATGAACTCAAAAATGATTTTAATCATGTGTACAGCACGTAAAAAGATTTATCAGTACGTGGACTGTTCAAAAAGTTTCTAAATTGATTTTATTAAAAAAAAAAAAAGAACAAGAAATATAACTACATTAGTATTCTTATATATGTATTGTTCATGAAATTCTCTATCTATAGATCGCCGAAGAATCAGACAACAAGAAATAGTATTCTTGAACGATGGTTAGTTTATATGACTTTCTACAATTGGATAAAGTGTGGTATAACATATACTTTTATGTTGTCGCATATAGAGTAAAAAGGCGTGATTTGTCACAAAAAAAAGTGAAATTTTATCTTATTTTGTTCATAACTTTTTTTTATTTTATATGGTAGAAAAAAAAATTTTGCTACAAGAAATATAGAGAAAGTAAGTTTTTTTCGTTCAATAATGTGTTTAGTTTCTACAAGTCTCTTTTAGTAGAACCTACTATTGACTTTATCGAACCATCCCATACAAGGTCATTTGCCAATCTTAGTTATGTTATACGTAGCTAATATTCTAAGATATTTTAAATCTATTTGTGATAAAAAATATATCATTGAATAGAATGTGGATGTGAGTCTTCATTTCTATAACATCCGCACTTTAGCCAATCGCAACAAAGTTTGAAAACAATGTATTGAAAAAAGAGAATGCAAATGTTCAATTGAATTTCAATTTAATATTCTAATCCAAACCAAAGTGAATTACTTTTCGTCGATATGTTGTTACCTTTTAATTCTGCATGACAAGCTCACTCTTTAGTTAATGTTTCAAGATTCATTCATGTTTAGTAGATTTTTGAAGACCTTGATTTTACTGTGATTGAAGGAAAAAAATCTACAATGAAATATGCTTGATGATCTGAATTGAATTACTTGATTTAAAATAAGTATACACTACGTAAACCTACTTGTAAGACTCATTAGTGTTTTTATGTATTCTCTCTCATCAATGGCTGATGCAATGATATCAAAATCACTTTTTACTCTACAGTATACATAGAACTTGACATTTTGCATTCATAGTCCTTCAGGAATTTTCAACGAACATGTGGAATGTGAATGTGAAGTATCGAGGTCGAATGAGAATATGGAAATACTCGAACTCATACTTTTAAAGGTCAATCATTTCTCGAATTATAATGAATGTTAACAATATCAGATATCAAGTTCATTTTTCTTTGTGAATTATTATTTTTTAATTAATTTTTTTTTTTCATATAATTAAATGTGATACATATCGTGATAAGATTATGATAATCATTACAAAAAACATCCTGAAATTAAAATTACTTAATGATAATCGAGCGTTTATTTTTATTTCTAAGTTATCTGTTTTTGTCGGTAATTATGAATTGTTTTGAGATAAAAGTTATATTACAACAACAACTTAACTTTTGAAAATCAAGAATAGCGCAATAAGTTTATTTATTATGATTTACCAGCTTGTGTTTAATTTTCGCATTATATTGTTAACTTCTTTGTTTAAAACAAATATTATTTTGTAGCATTAAATCTTTGAGAAAAATCTACGTAAATAAAAATATTTTCATCAATTGTCTTTATTTCTAGTCGTTAGTTTTATGAAAGGTTTCGAAATGATAAACTAGTAGGAATCTTTTGGAAGACAAAATGTATGCTATTCATCATCTAATTATAGCTGTTTCAAAATAGAAATAGACAGGTAGTCATTAAGAATCATGAAGTCAATTCAAATATATTATTAATGATTTTAGCTATTGATTGTAAATATTATTTGCTGCTTGCAAGAACCACTAAAAATATTAGCTGATCATTTTTCAATTATTAATGTAGAAATTAATTTTCATATAAAGAAAATTTCAAAAATTGAAACTATCTGTAATATATTTAATGTACAATGTGTTAAAAAAGCTGTTCTGTGAAACGGGTCATAGGCGGCGGAGCCACGAGGCCTGGATAGACACGAGCCTACCCTAGGTTGGAGAGGTAAAGGCTTGGGTAGGCTCAGGCAAAGGCCTGGGTAGGCTCAGATAAAGACTTGGATAGGCTCGAACTGGTAAATATAAAGATTTGAATAGGCTCAGTTTGACATAAATTTTCTAATAATAGTTAATTTGCATGTAATTCTAACAGATGACGCGTTATTACAATAACAGTGTGCATTTTATCTATTACAAATTCGTGTAGAGAGGCATACTGATTGGCTTTCGTGGACCTCTATATCTATGTCAAATTGTTTATTGTCCACATAAGATAATTTGACTTTTGGTATAAAGTTCTGTTCAAAATAACTTTTGAATTTTAAGCAATAAAGAACAGTATACTTCCACAAGCGGTGAAGTCACAAGATTTGAGTAAGCTGAAGTTCATCATATTTGAAGTTTCATAGTCTAAGAGAGATGTGAACAGTTGCTACTCATTCTATCATATTAACAAACTTGCTTAGTGCTTGAAAGTTTCTGCTGTCATCACTAACAACTACTAACACTTTGAGGAAAAAGCTGAGGTCCGTATGAATAGGTACATTAGCAATGAGTTCACATCATATTGTCTTGTTAGAAGTGAAGAATACCTTCACAGGATCTTGCAGTCATATCTACTGGATAATGCCAAAAGTTTTCCTCTTGCAGCGGTCAATCTCAGATGCTAAGCATCCATTTTCAATAGGGATATTACTTTACCTTTACTTTATAAATAACGATAAAGATAATCTTTTTCTTTATTTTATAAAGAATAAAGATAACCTTTACTTTAAAAAATAAAGATGAGAAAATCAAGAAATCCTTATTTTTTATAAAATAGAGATTAAGTAAATCTTTATGTTTATGAAATAAAGATAAAGATAATCTTTATTTGTAAAAATAAAGCTAAAATAAAGAATAAAGATATATTTTTTTATGTAATAAACACATATGCAAATACCCTGTGTCAGAACAGAATATGTTAATGAGTGTTCTTTCTTACCACCATCATCACTTCCAAATGTCATATCTTCAAAAAACAAGGGCTACTCATGAAACGATATGTGAGAAAAATGTTACTGCGCATTATATTTAATTACATAATACGGTGATTTTTTTTGAGATCGCTCAACAAAATAAAAACAATAAGTTTTGATAGGAAAAATATTCTTTATTCTTTATTTTATCTTTATTATAAAGAAAATAAAAATAAAGTAACACCCCTAATTTTCAACGTGCTGATAATAATCCACAATGACACCCCTTTTCTGGGGGCACCATTGCGTTGCAATAATCCTAATTTCCAGTAATACGAATCAAAGACTCTTTCTTGAAAGTAGCTCATCAAATAGTTTCAGAATGTAACCGAGCCTAGTTTTGAGTCTGAGTCTGAAATATTGCTGTTACCCAAAGTCAGATTTGAGTCCAGGCACAAGTTCTCGAATTCAGGTCTGATGAGCGCTAGCTGCATGCAAAAGCCAGTTATAAATTGGTTATTACAATATTACCGTCAAGAGTGTTTTAAAAACGTGTAAGGTGTGCTAGTCACCGAAAAATTAATCGCAAAAACTGCAGCATCTTCGAAATAATTATCAAATCGGGAGTAAAAGAATTCTATTGAGAGTACGAAGACTAACAGTTCAGATTCCGATACAAAATTTTTGCCGTCGAAGGACTATATTTGAGAGTCAATATTCAATCAAGAAAAAAGTTTAGATGACTATTTGAATACAAGTTTCTTTGCAATAAATTGCAAACTCACCTCTGATATGAACTCATATTGAGAACCAAAAAGTAGAGCTACGTAGAAATAAGCAGTATTAATTGTGTTTAGTTGAACAGTATAGCAGAAAAAATTACCCCTCTATTTCTAATCCATCGGTCAGGGTCTTATTAAAAAATGTTGAGCCTACCATAGATTCAAAACGTTCCGCCGCCTATGAAACGGGTATATTAAAAATTTCTGTTTGACAACTCTCGTAACAAAAAAAATCTTATAGTATTATTATAATTTGAATAAAGGCACACATACGATCAAAAGTGTCACAACGACATATAAATCACATCATTATTTCTCATATCAATAAAGAAAAACTTAGATAGACTGGACTTTAAACACTATCTGCTCAGATTTGAAAAAAAGAAAAAACTTTTCCTTCGATCGTGAAAAAATTCTCATCTCATCAAAATTGCCTATTTTTTCGTCATTTATTAGTTCGATTATCGTGAGATTAAAATCATGATTATTCAATACAGAGTAGGCTACGCATCGAACTAGGATAAAAAAAAATAGTACTTCCGCATCCGTCGAATTAAATGGATGAACTTTTTAGTGATAGAATGTCATATAAATTTTCTTTTTCATACAGATAAAGTTAGCAAATATTATTAAGTATTATGTTTTGTGTCATGAAAGAAATTTGATCTAAATTTACTATTAAGTAAAACTATACACGTATAGCATTTCATACATAATTTTCAATTCTCGAACGGAAAAATAATAAGAATAAGTCAACAAAGACTTAAATCAATGCATCTGTATTAATGCAAATCAAACAAGTTTCTCAAACTAATAGTTAGTTTAGAAGTTAACGAATACAAAGTTTCGAATTTTTAAACATGAAAGACTAACTTTTGCAAAAAAACAAAAAAACGTTGATGTTTTAACACTCTTAGTTCTATAATTCTATATTTTATTTTGGAGATATAAAGATTAGAATTTAAACTTACTAGTTCTAAAAAATTGCTCTGTATACATTAATATCGATTCATTTATAAAGTTTGTTTCGAATTGTTCTTATTATTCTTCTGTTCTACAACTGAAAATTATCTACGACAATCTATACATGTATTTGTTTTTTTACTTAGTAATAGATCAAATATCTTTCATAAGACAAAAAAATAATATTTACTTATGTTATCCTTATAAATAAAATTCTACCCGTAAGACAAAGGTACGTTCTGTTTCTTTAGATTACATTCTATTTTTTCTATAGTAGAGCTTGATTACCTACGATAGATCTTTTGAAAGAAAATTTGAACAAATAAAAAGAATTCTAACTAGAAGAAATTAAAATCTCATATAGAGTAATTCTATATGATCTTAAGCACGTATACAAATTTGATCACCGATTTTGATGAAATTTTCGGGATTTGTAGAGCTTTTAATGCTAAGTATTTTGATAAAAAGAAAATTTTCCAAACAATATTTTATTTTGATAGATATAGACCAAAAATACTTTACGCAGTAAAATATAAAAATTCTTCCAATAATGTTGTTTTAGGTATCATTGTGGGTAAGATTCTTTCCTTCGATGGATTCCTACACCCTGTAAAAATTATATACGACACTATTCTCATTAAGACTTGTGTTTCTATGGACATTTTTAAGTCGAAATTCGAAAAGTAAGTTTTCTATCAATATATTTATAGCTTGTTGAAGTTTACATGATATAGATAATATCGATCTAAACCTAATCAATCAATTCGGAGACTTTCTTTATAAAATTCAATACTCTACTTTCAATTTTCATTAATAAATTCATCTAATATTTTTAATGCTCTTGACAAAATCTAATGAAATAATATTTATCCTAACGTTTTAATTGCGATCAATTATAGTATTAAATACTGATAATTAACAAATGAAAACCTAAATGTTTTTACTGTAGATTAGGTTTTTTTTAAAATATTTTTCTTATCTTTTGTTTCAAGGTTTGTTTGTCGCTGTACGTTAAATAAATAAGTGAATCACAAACTTACACTTGTTATACATTCAACGACATAAGAAATTTTTCGAAATACTTTTACTAAGACACAATTAACTAGTTATATTCTATCAACAAAGATTTCTACGTATTTCTTACATATTCCAAATGGCAAAGAAGAAAAAATCTACTGCTGTCTATCATCATGTATCTGCTGATGAAGCTGGACGTGAATTCGGTATTTCTCTTCTACAATTAAAAACATTAATGGAAACACGAGGTCAAGAAGGTATTAGAGAGCTCAATGAAACATATGGTGGTATTGATGGCCTTGGACAAAGGCTCAAAACAAATTTAATAACTGGTAATAATAAAATAAAATAAGAACAAAGACAAAAAAAAACAACATTTTAAATTATCATATCTAACATTTTGTATTTAGGTTTATCTAATGATGAAACTGATTTAGCCATACGTATAACTGCATTTGGTCGTAATGAAATTCCACGAAAATCACCAAAAACATTTCTTCGTCTTATATTTGATGCTCTAAAAGATCGTACACTTGTTATACTTATTATACTTGGTATCATTTCATTAACTTCATCAATTTATCATCCAAGTAAAAAAACATATGAAACTAAAATAAAACAAAGTAAATTTATATTCAAATAACAAAACAAAAAAGACTAAGGACAATTTTTTTGTTTGTTATACATATATTTTTATTTTTAGAGAGAATAAATGTTGAATGGATTGAAGGTGCAATAATTATTGTTGCCGTATTAGTTGTTGTTCTAGTAATAGCATTTAAGAATTGGTTGCGAGAACGACGCTTTTATGATTCTCAATCAAAAATTGAACTTGATCAAAAATTTAATGTTATTAGAGATAATATAATACGACAAATTCCAATAAAAGATATTGTCGTTGGTGATATATGTCAAATTAAATCTGGAGATTTATTACCAGTTGATGGTATTGTTGTACAATCAAATGAACTTAAAGTTGATGAATCATCATTAACTGGAGAACCAGATTTAATCCGAAAACATGAATCAAGAGATCCATTTCTTCTTACAGGTTAATAAATTCGTTTTCTTTTTTTGTTATTGATGAAAAAAATATAAATAATTAAAATTAAATTATTCATTTTTTTAAATATTTGTTTAGGTACACAAATTATGGAAGGTAGTGGTTCAATGTTAGTTTTAGTTGTTGGTGAACATAGTCAAACTGGAATGATATTTAAATTATTAGGCACAACAACAGAAGAAAGCAGTGGAAAGAACATGAACTTCGAAAATAAAAATCAGAGTATGATTTAGGATTTTTATTTTATCCTTTAAATGTTTCATCAATTTTTTCTGATACATACTGAGTGACGCAAATGAATTCGAAATTCAAAAACTATATGAATTACCTAGTAATTCAGTTTTTATTAATTTCTATCAGCACTTATGGTAGAATCCTATCAAGTTCTCAATGTGAGTTCTACGAAATCCTGATATACTTTGTAAGATATTCATAGCTTTAATAGACTTATAAAAATCATACACGTTTCCATATAGAATTTATAGATGTACATTGAATATCGAGATTATGAAACGAGCAAAAGAAACGATATTTTCATGCTTCATACTTCGAAAAACTATATAAGGTATGATGATTCGGTTAAATCTAAAATACAATTTATTATTTTAAAACTTCAATGATTGTGCACTTTGATATGTATGTATATGAATATATATTTTATTCATTATTTTGTCATAGAAAGTGATAGTAGTGCATTCTATATTCTTCATATGTAAGATAGTATTTGAAATATTTGTGAACAATGTCAACTTATAGAGAAATCTTCTTTTTTTCCAAATTATTCATATATGAAATCGAGCGTATTCTGTTCTTGTCTTTTTTAACCAAGACTGAATGACTGAATCGGATTCCATAATATTAGTAATGACATAATGCAAACGTGACTCAAAGAAAATAAAAAGTTTCTTTCAATAAAAATATTAATTATGAATTTTTTTGTAATTCATTTGTGTCACGAACTTCATAACCATGATGGAACTGAATTACAAGAATTTATATCTGATAATACCAATCAAGTAAATAATGAAAATAATCTCGATTGTTTTAAAGTTTTAGAACATTCAATTTTACAAGCAAAATTAAGAAAATTAGCTTGTCAAATTAAATATGCAGGTAAAAATTAATATCAACTTTTTTTTTTCTCACAAATCAATTTTGTATTTTAATTTCATATCTTTCTATCATTATCTTTCAAGTATTAAATATTCTCTCGAAAATCATACATTCTAATTTATGAGTCAGTTTATATAAGCTACGACTGAAATTGCTCAATTGAAATGTATAAATGATTATATTAAATCGAGCAAAATCTAACGAATTCGATTATGGCTTATATGCACTAACCCTCTATACTTAATATTAAAAAAAAACAAACTTTCTTTTCTAGGCATAGCGATTGCTGTTTTAACTGTATTTGTTCTACTAGTTCGATCTTTAATCGAGATATTTGCACAAGGGTAAAAGAAAAAATTTGTTTTTTGATCGATTTATTTTTCAAATATTTTCTATAGACATGAATGGAGTTATAAATATTGGAGTGGAGTTCTACGATACGTCATTACTTTTATAATAATATATGTCTTTGTTGTACCTAAATGTTTACTATTGATTGTAACACAATCATTAGAATATGCAGTTAAAGTAAATTAAGTAATTTAGAATTTTATTATTTATAAAATCATGCTTTGTCATCGATTAGAAAATAATGAAAGATAATATTATTTTACGTCATTTGGATGCATGTGAAACAATGGGTTATGTAACGTCAATATGTTGTGATAAAACAGGAGTATTAACAACAAATCGTATGACTGTTGTACAAGTCTATGTTGGTGAAAAACATTGGAAAAATGTTGCAAATTCAGTTAAAACTGAAAAAATGACTATACCAGTTAATACAAAAGAAATTATAGTTGAAGGTATATCTGTTAATACTAGTTATTCATCAAAATTATTAGTAAGTTAATATTCAATATTAAAAAAAAACACCAAAACAAAAGAATTTATAATGAAAAATTTTTGCATTTTTGTTTTTGTTTATGTTAGTTGCCATCAGAAAAAGAAATATTATCAAAACATATTGGAAATAAAACTGAATGTGGTTTATTAGATTTTGTTGGTGTTCTTGATGGAAATTATGATGAAATACGTACATATTATCCAGAAGATCGATTTATTCATATTTATCCATTTAATTCAATACGAAAAAATATGTCAACAATTATTCGACGATCTAATTCAACAATACGTATGTATACAAAAGGTGCATCAGAAATTGTTTTAAAAAAATGTAAAACAATATTAAATCAGAATGGAGATATTGTACCATTTTCAAGTGTTGATTATGATCGTCTTATACAAACAGTTATTGAACCAATGGCATCTGATGGTTTACGTACAATATGTTTAGCATATAGAGATTTTTCATTAGATAGATTACCTGATTGGGATGATGAAACTAGCATTATAGATCAATTAACATGTATTTGTATATGTGGTATTGAAGATCCTATACGATTGGAAGTACCTGATACTATAGCTAAATGTCGAAATGCTGGTATAATAGTACGAATGTTTACAGGAGATAATGTTAATACAGCTCAATCGATTGCAATTAAATGTGGAATTATTAAACCTAATGATAGTTTTTTAGTACTCGAAGGAGAAGAATATAATAGACGTATAAAATCAGAATTAGATGAAAAGGTAAAGAAATTTTTTTGGAAAAAAATTTGTTGTTTTTTGTTAAAAATTGAATTTTATATTTTTAATTATAGGTTGAACAAAATTTACTTGATAAAGTTTGGCCACATTTACGTGTATTAGCTCGTGCATCACCACAAGATAAATATGAACTTGTGAAAGGTATAATTGCATCAAAAATTAATCCAATAGGTGAAGTTGTTGCTGTTATCGGTGATGGAACAAATGATGGTCCTGCTTTGAAAAGAGCTGATGTCGGTTGTGTTATGGTTAGGTTTTTTTCTTTTGCATTTTTTACAATGTAATGAATAGTATTCATTAGTTATACAATGCTTTAGATTTTAAGAGTAACTTAAATAAGAACATAAGTTAACATTATAAATTTTACTCAAAGTAGAATTCAAATTAATGAGAACAATTTCATAATTGATTTATCCATTCTAAACCAAGACTATGTGTATTATATAGATCCTGATAAGTTATGAATATCCTGAAATAGTTTATTTTGAAATTTTCAGCTATTTTCGTTGTTCCTATTTTAAGGTCAAAAATCATGAAAGCAGAGAAAGAGATGTCAAGATATTCTAATAGAACCCATCGAGTTCAAAATTTTGGAATACCCAACAAGTGGATACAAATTTCATTGATGAACTCTACTCTCTAAAAATTAAAAATTATTTATTATTGCACAGTGAAACTTGAATTTCGATCATCTGCCTGAGAAATTTTCCTATACAGCTTCTACAATGCTAGAACTCTGACGAGACTCCTGTGTAAAGTGCAGTTGTAGTATGACTAAACTATTCTCTGTGATACGATCTCAATACAAATCTAGGGTTAGTATATATCTAAATATAGACTCAGACAACTGGCCGATCTATACACAAACTTAAGAAGGATTTAATCACAGATCTAGAATGAGAATAAAATTAATACATATAAAATATGAATCTAAATACACACTCGAATATGTTGTAAATTATCGAAGTAGTTCTATATTGATATTCATTTGAATATTCAATTCTATACTTTAATTAATAAGTTTTATCAACTATTATATTATGCTAAATTTTGATTGTCAAATTAATCTATAATTTATTTAATAGGGTAGAGAAGGTACTGATGTAGCAAAAGAAGCATCAGATATAATTCTTGTTGATGATAATTTGAATTCAATTGTCAAAATTATTATGTGGGGTCGTTATGTTTATCATTCAGTAGCAAAATCTCTTCAATTTCAATTAACTGTTAATATTGTGATTGTCTTATGTGCTTTTATTGGAGCATGTATTGTAAAAGAATCTCCATTACGTGGTATACAAATCTTATGGATTTATTTAACTATGAATATATTAGCAACATTAGCATTTGCTTTTGAAATGCCAACCGAAGAATTATTAACACATAAACCTTATGGACGTACACCACCATTAATATCTCGCATAATGATGAAAAATATTATTGGTCATGCTATTTATCAATTAGCTGTAATGTTTTTTATTTTATTTGTTGGTAAGAAAAAATAATGAAGCTACGAATAGAAATTCATATTCATTTTATTATTTGTTTGTTTTTTTTTTGAATATAAAAAGGACCTAAAGTATTTTATATTGATGATGGTCGTCCAAATGGTAGTATATTTAAACCATCTGAACATTTTACAATGATATTTAATGTATTTGTCTTAATGACTTTATTTAATGAAATAAACTGTCGAAAAATTCATGGCGAAAAAAATGTTTTTCGTGAAATATCGAAAACTCCACTTTTTTATGGTATATGGATTGTTACATTTGTTTTACAAGTTGCTCTTGTTCAATATGGTTCAGTCATATTTTTTTGTGTTAGATTAACATTTAAACAATGGATGTGGTGTCTTATTTTTGGTGTTACAGTTCTTCTATGGAATCAAGTAAAAAAAAACAGATTTGATTTGATTTTTTTTTTGATAAATTTTACTTATTTGTAGATTCTTAATTTGATCCCAGTATCATGTCATACGTCGAAACGGGATGGACGTGATGTTTATGAACTAACATCATCTGTTGACTTAGATCCAGAAGAACAGTCAAGACGACGAGTAAGTCTAACAAAGGAACAAACACTTTGATTATGAAAAATGATACGTCTTCAAACACAAGTATATAGAAGAAAAAGAGGATTTCTAAATTTGACGATCCTCTTCTTCTTTCAATGAGACCAAAAAAAAATCAACAATGTCTTTGGTGTTTTTTTTTTTGTTTTTATATAATTAAGGTTAACATATATATTCTTAAAACTTGTTTAATCTCCTTTTTTTATTTTGCTTTTTGTTTTCATGTCAATAACATTGCGAGTCTAGATGTGGGTGGGTTTGAGTCTTCTTCAAATACATTCCAAGCAGATATAAGCATATAGGTCATAGAAAGATGATTGAAACGTTGCATGTTTGAATCGTTTATATGTTGAAGCTTGATTGTAGGAAAAGTTCCTTCAAGGAATTCACAAATGACAAACCAGCGTCTTTACTCTAACCAGAAAGATGTGTGAAAACTACCGATAATTGAATTAATAACTTCCTTATCTACACATCGACAGTCATAAGCAGAGATATAAAACTTAAAGTCTTCAAATGGGAGTAGTTTTTTGATGAATAAATTGTTCCGATTGAGAAAAATTCTGTAGAAATTTTAATGATGAGTCATTGCTAATGAATTCCTGACGAACAAGAGCAAGTATAAGAGAAGAAAGATATTTTCATATTTTTCAATTTCAATAATGTCATTTCTTGATATACAGTTTGAAGGTAATATTGATCAATTCTATTCAAATTACAATTTGCAAAGCTTTGGTGAACGATTGAGAATAGAACAGAATTTTTTTATAAGTACATGTGTATAACATAAATTGTTTGAGTATATACAGATCTAGCCACAAAAATTTATTGATTCTACTTTCATTTATATTCATAAATAGTTTTCGAAAAACTCGGTAACGTGATAATCAATGATAGATAAGATATTGTCTCATTTTCCATCAGGATCACATTTCTGAATGAAATTGAGAACCAATGAAAGAATTTGTGTGAATTGATGAAAGTCAATATTTATGAGAAACTAATTAAATTGAATGACACTTGAAAAAATGTACTTCTAAAAGCAAATGAAGTGACGTTTTCTACTCGAACGATTTCTCATATACGATAAAATTTGGTCATTGATAACTTATCGTCAATTTGGATTTGATATCTGTAAGAGTTCGTAATTTCATGAAATTTTTTACAAACATGCCGAAATGAGAGCAAAATATGATATGTATCAAGTTCAACACGTATAAAATAAATAAGTTCGACTGAAGTTCTCAAAATAGATACAACAAATTCAATCTAATAGGATTTGTCAAAATTGTGAACGGTAAGAATAAGAAAAATTCAGCACCGAAAAATGAAACATAATATCTATTGAAAAGATGTATGAAAGTGAAGAGAAGATTCATAACTACGTTCATCGATATACTATGAATTAATGTTGATCAATCACGGCGAAGTAAGAAAAAGTATTAAAGATTCAAAAAAACGTTTATTAACTTTTATTTACACACTTTACTTAGACATTTCGATTCAAATTGATTCAATTGTAAATTTTGTTTTTTTTACTTAGAAAGTTCCTATGAAATATTATATTTATTCATTGAGCTTTCAATATATTCTATTTATATGCCTTGATATTCGTCGACGTTGATTATTTTCATACTAAGGCTTTCATACGGATTGTTTTTCTTCCGGTATCATTATAACATGCATGAATAATTGAATGAATGATTCTACTTTGAATATGTATTTTGATCGAAAATTTTACTTGGTTATTCGTCTTATCAAAAATCAATGATAAAAAAAAATCAACTATTATTTGTTATTAAACATGTTTGAAAGATGATTACAATCATATTCATATAGATCAATAAGATAAAAATTAATGAACAATAGATCTATTTTTTGATTGTTTTCTAATAAGTGAACAACTTAGGATCTATATCACCATGATAAATATTTTATAGAGCATTTCATGTTAGCTCTATGACAGATACTTTTAATGAATTTCATTTTGATTGATAACAGATATAAGATTTACACATGAGTAAGTCAACATCTTTCTATCTTTCATTAACATCAAACATGGTTTAATAATGAATTGAAAGCTTAAACAAGACAGTCGTTTTATTGTTTTTTTTTAAATACATTTTTATATTTTACAGAAATGAAAAAATTTAATCGTTGAATCGAACAGATTCATTTTAGTATAGAACCAAAAACTTGCGATTTCTTATCATTCGTATGTGTAAGCCTTAAATGAAGTTAACAATATATTGATAAGGCACTGATAGAATACTCGTCTAGGACAATAATTTCCATCTTATCATCACCATTAATATCAGCTACTGCTATTGCCGTAGTTTCTCTTGGCCAAGCTGAATAAATCGTTCTTTTAGTAAGTGTTCCATTGTCTGTGTTGAAATAAACAGTGATTGTATTGACTCTAATGTCTCCGTGAACTATATCTGGTTTATTATCATGATTAACATCGCCTATTTGAAGAGAAGTCGTTACGGTATTGATTAGATATTGAACCGAATTGATGAATGTGCCATTTCCGAGATTGAAATAAATCATGAAATTTTTTGAGTATGATTGTAGGATTAAATCAATCTTATGATCGTTATTCATATCATTTGCCACAATATTATGTGTATTAAAGTGATCTAAAAGGATCTTATGAGTGAAGTTACCGTTATCAATATTAACATATAAGCAGGTATTTTGGTGATGATGAGTTACAATAATATCAGGCATATTATCATTTGTCACATCAACAACCAGTATATTTCTTGGATAAGGAAAAGTTTCAAACGTTGCTTCCTTATCAAATAAACCGTCAGTAGTTTGAAAGCAAATGATAACAATACTTTCATCTATGCTTATAATGATAAAATCCAATTTATTATCTCCATTGACATCAGCTATTGCTAAATCACTTATTCTTAGCTTTGTCAAAATTATCTTTTCAGAAGTAAATGTACCATTTCCTATATTATAATACAGACCAAATTTATTGGAACCACCTGTAATAATAATATCGGATTTATTATCATTATTCATATCGGCTGTTTTTATCTTAAAGCCAATATCAGCACTTGGATAATTTGTATGATTATTAAATATACCATTACCAGAGTTGAAAAAAATTGTGATTATATTCTGATCGATGTTTCCAACTATTATATCTAACTTATTATCACCATTAACATCTACTATCCCCATTGAATTCACAAATTGATTTATTTTTGGTAAATTCGTTACGAACGAAAGTCGTACACATAGATCTAGATTTAAAAAAGTCTTCGGAGTAGATACAATAGAAAGAATGAAACAAGAATAAGTCCATTCTAAAATTAACTAATCTCTAAGTTGAACTGAATCTTTTATAACTATGAAAAGCTCTTTGTTTTGATTTGTGATCATTTTATTATAATCTTCCTTTTAAACACCATCATTTGATTGTTGTTTATATGTGTTTTCATTTCTTACATCACGTTACATGTATGCATGTACTTCTTCGAAGATTATTTAATGATCAGTTAACTGTTCAAATATTTCGAGAGTTGTATAAGTCATTCTACATGTAGTGTTGAATTCAAGTTTGAACTCCAACAGGCTCTGATTTTCATATCTCTAACGACCATTGCTAGTTATCTTGTGAACTGCTAACTCTATAGCTTTTGGATTATTTTTTAAAAATACAGTCAACACAAAGAATGAGACAAGAAGATCGGGTCAAAAAAAATAATGAAAAAAAAAATTTGTATTCAAGTATTAAAAGATGTGATCTTTAAATTTTGAAAACCCTCTTAGAAGTTATAATCGTCCGAAGATACAATATTCTTAGGTAGTGTCTGGAGTAACCCTACACATATATAACGCTATTATGATAACATCTGGCTGATGAAACCTTATAACTTTTTCGTCATTGTTAACATATATCCATAATTATCAATCGATATCATCAGATCTCGTCGATGAACGCGTAATAAATCTACAGTCAGTCATGCTTTTGTAGCATTATTGACACGAATGTAATGGTCTTCGCCGAAAACTCACATCGCCGACTCGACGTGGAAATTTACAGTGAATTTCCACGTCGAGTCGGCGATGTGAGTTTTCGACGATCTTGTTTTCGGCGAAGAGCATACTTACCATTGACACGCTCTAATGATAAATAGGAACTAAAAAAATTATTCTAGACCGTTTTCACGTGTTAAAATGTTCATCTTAACCTATGATTTCATCTACCAACTTTCAAATATCAGTCATACTTTCAATATTCTTTTATGTGTACATCGCATAGTACTTCTGCTCATCAGAAGTAAGATCATATTATTTTAATGTGTGTGACTATTTGAATCAAATGAACTATAGTAAAGTATCAGTGATCCGTGAGATACATATTTTCAATAATTTATCCATGATGAGATGTTCAGAGTACAGAAATCAATTTATTTATTTTCTTTTGCATTAGAATTATACCTTCTGTTGTTGTTGTTGTTGTTATTGTTGTTGTTATTGTTGTTGTTATTGTTGTTGTTATTGTTGTTGTTATTGTTGATGATGATAACGATGACGACGATGATATTTGTTTTGGCACGTTTCCTTTTCTTATCATAATGACAGTTACTACAATAGTAATGATTAATATGATAGAAATAGTTATTATACCAAATATGATCCACATTAATTTTCTTTTTTGAATACATTCATGTCTACTAACAAAATAAATTCTCTTTGTCAATTACAATACTTCAAAGTATACATACGATACTCCTATTGAAATAGTTGACGTTTGATTGACATTTACACTCGTTGGCGAAGACTAAAATAGTTTAACATAAAAGATATAATGTTATTTTTTTTCTTAAGAAATTCTATCACAAACATTCCTTTTGTTAGCTTTTATAGACCACATTTTTTCCAAATTTGTTATTATTCAATCGAAAATCTATAAAAAAAATAACTGAAAAAAAAATGAAGTATTTCATATAGGTTATTTGGTACAATGTAAACTTTGATGTTGTATTAAATGAAAAATGTTTGAAATTATAATGAGTGAAAAATATTTTTGAAGCAGAAGATTTTCTGTTAAGACAAGATGAAATCCTTAATTCTTACAAAAAATATACAAATATTTACAATTAAATTTCCATGCTAAGTGAAATAAAACAGAGCCAAATGTCGAAGAAAAATATTTTTTCTTACTAAATAATCAGCTAAGACCTATATACAATAAATCACGAATATTGAGTGAATTATTTATTTTCTCAAAAGTTTATCGAAAAAGTATACATCTTATTATGGCAAACTGTTTCGTTCTTAAAAAAGAAAATATCCATCTTTTCTTATTCTAATAGAGAAACATAAAAAGAAAGGCTTAGTGTGTAGTTCAAATTACTTACTAGAAAACTGTTAGAAACGATTCAATTGCTTTGAAATAATATTTTCTCTACAAGTAGGATTCAATAAAACTAAGAAAAGCTTAAAACCATCACGTCTCATAGGTCTTTCTCATGCAATTATGAACATTTTTGTGAAGTTCATAAGATTTCGATGTAGGAAAAATTCTAATCAACACTCTATACCTTGATTTTATAGTTACTTTCATGTTATAAGTAATAAACCTAATAGACTGCTTGCAACTCGATGGAAAATACGTATTAGTACTTATTATTTGATAGATTTCCTGATCTCACTAATTTCTAATCATGAAAAAAAATGTGAATGCAAAAGATCTGAATTACTTAGAGCTGCTTCAACTTCCAGTGTCAGCTCTACAACTAAATATTAATATAATGTTTTGATTCCAAAAGAAACAACATTGATCATTTTTCTTTAATACTTGAATAACAAATAGTTATTAAAAATGATTATTGCCTACACATAGTCATGCTGCATTTAATAAAATTTCTTTGCACTATTTAATATTTATTATAATGTCAAAGAAAAACAACAGAGACTTGATGACATCATCAACATATGTTATCCATCAGATGAAATAAAACTTGTATTTAATATACTTTTAAATCATGTATAAGGTTCAACGGAATATTCAAACTCTTTTATTTCAAATATAGAACAATCAGGTGAACATCCAAGCAGATAAAAGAGAACGCATGAAAATTCTAATGAAATTTCGAGAGGTCATGAATGCTAATCATAATTTTCTACTGTCATCCAAAAAGATTCGAGAAAAATACAGCATGAGAACGACCAATTTTTACGTGAAATAAAATTTTAGAAAATTTATGTTACAAATTCTTAGTGATCATAGCATCGAGATAGTTACTATAAACGTTTCTGACTCACAAACGAAAACCGCGATTAGTATTCTAAAATGTTCAAATTATATTCATGCATTTATCTACTCTTTTAGGTTTTTTGTTATTTGCATGACTTTTCTGACATATTGTTTTTTGCAAGAAGTTTTTTTCTGCTTGTAAGCCACTCATATAATAGTAATTGATATGCAGATATACCAGTGACTTTATGCGTTAATTTACCTAAAAAATCTATCTATCAATCTACCTACTTACCTATGTAAATACGTATTTATCTAACTAATCATCGAGAAACATCTTTCTTTTTGCTTCTTGTAGTCTACATTGCATTTGTTTGATTTCCAATAAATATTAATTACAGAATATAGTGAATACGTGATTTCAATATTGGTGAAACTGATTAGAATTTACTTCAATGAAGGACTATTTTTGATCTGTTAGTACTTTTACCTATTTAAGTATCTATCATCGATTTTGCATTATTAGCTTGTCGACGAGATGGTAACGAGAAAGATTTACTAGTTGAAAGAACGGTAAAATGATGGATAGATTCCTAGCATGAATAATGAACTAAAGGAAAAATCTTCAAAATCATTCACTTATGGACAAGATCAATAGTACTAAAAACGTAGATTCTCTATTAAAGCAAATTGTGACGAGTTATATGATATATTAATATAAAGTGCTCAGACATCTCTTGTATGAAATATTTGATTGATACCGAATGCATGTTATATAGAAGAACGACATTTTTTAACCCGCTATCGAAGTAATTTGAAAAAGACAGCATCAACACCTGTTTTTTTTACATAGAAGTATGGTTTGAACAGATAACTTCGATCAGTGTTGTATTTCGATAGTGTGAATTATATTGTTTAAGCTTTATATTCTTGGTCATTGATAAAATGAAATTTTTTATAATCAATATATAATAAAATTCAATATATAGTTTTCAGTTGCCTTACATTTTTTGGCTATATTGATAACGGTATTTGAGATTTCAAAATTCTGCTGCTACACGTCAATACTATTTTAGAATTAGAACTAACTACTTTATATCTACATTAGAGCAATTAAAAAAGAAAACGCAAGAAAAAATCATGTTCTATTTTGAACATAAATATTTGACTTTTCTAAGTGTAAGTGTTATATCTGGGCGATTAATACTTTTATTCATTTCTTCCCCGGTGAAAGTACTCACCTAGAGAGTACTCAAAAAGTACTCATGCTAGAAAATGCCGCGAGTACTCATGAGTACTCGGGATTTTTGAGTACTCGTCGGTCGTACTCACGATGAGTTTCGAGTATATGAGTACTATACATCTATACTTGTGTGGCAGTGTATTGTAGTCAAGTACTACAACCGTTCATTTCTTATAGTTATTGGCAACTAGACCATTTAAAGTTCCAGTTGGTTGCCCTTCGAGAAGCTTCGTAGACTCTGAACAAGTCCGCTTCTCTGTAACATCACAGTCACAGAAGGAAGTTATTCTGTTAAAATTATTACTTACCGCCCATAGAAAGTCAGCGCACGACGTCGTTTTCGTCCTTACACATTCTATTCTGTATATTGAGTCTTTTCAGAAAAAAAGACGACGAGTACTACAATGAGTACTCAGCGTCTTGCCTATGAGTAGATGTGTAGTGAAAGTTTCGTATAAGTACGTATTTGAGTACTCGTTCATTTTACATACTCATGAATTTTTGAAAGTACTTGCTCGAGTAATTTGAGTACTCATGCTGGCAAGTCGTACTCTCTGGATGAGTACATTCACTAGGGTTATATGTTCTCCGTTATCAGAAACATTAGTAAAAGAAAATTTAGTTAGGCACACAAGGATAGTTACGTATATGAGAAAATCTTTACGTATACGACAGCAGAGAAGGAAAAAGTCGGAAGAACAATAAAATATAGAGAATCAGAGAGAAAGCTAGAGAACATAAAGAACAAGGCCATATGAGACATTATTGACTAACATCGATAAGAAATGTTTGTGAATTTACTTTCAATTTTTCTTTACTTATATAAATCTACACTACTAAAACATTAAAAGTGATTGTTTGCTACTTTTTCATATCACTTCTTTTTGAAGGAATATGAAAACGAATAATTAACTTAGTAAAAATTTCTATGGAGACAATAAGAAATTCCTCATTTTGATTTTTAGTTTTCTTCTAATCTGTTTTTTTTTCAAAAGTAAATAAGCTTCTCAAGATCAAATAATTGATTTATATAGTTCTAATGAACTAAAATTATTTCATATTATCGATATCAGGATAAAATAATTTTTCTATTACCTTTTAATAGAAAATTCTAGTTATAAACTGTAAGATAGTTAATTCAAAAAGATAAGAAATTCATATATTATAATTTAAAGTAGTATTTTATATCTTGTTTATCACGATAACTGATTCATCTGGTTCACATTTAAAATTAAAAAGAAATAATGTTTTTAAATAATATATTTTCTCATATAAAATCGATCGATTTTTAATACAATAAACTTCAGTTTTTTTCTAGTTAAGTTTATGTATAAATATTAACTGAAATCAAAATTAAATTTTCACTTATTCTGAATAGTTGATTGCCCTTTTGAAATCGACTGTTTTCTAGTTGAATTATTGAATTGCATGCCACACACTTAGTCATGTTAATATCAAAACTTACATAAAAAGAGACAATTATGGAATGTTAATGAATTAGTCTAGACCAGATAGATCGAGAAGTACTTTGAACTAGGATAAAATATATATGTACACGAGTACGGCTTAAAAGATGCTTCATCTTTACTTTAAAGGAAAAATTTAGAGAAGTCTACATTCAATGAACACTTTAGATTCAAGTCACTCAAACACTCACTGGTGCACTGACATTGACATTCACTGACTACAGTCATCGTTGTTCACTGCAGAACTGATACTCACTATAATACCGATGCTTATAAATTAAAACTAACGAGATTGATATCGAAGCCGAGTGAAATATTCACATCCCAATATTGATTTCCGTTGACTAAAATCCATATCATAATATTATAGCACACACTCGATATAATACATGAATTTATAGAATGTTTTCTTTGGTTGAGAGCATGCTTGCATAATAGGTTCTCAGGTTTTCTTTTCCTATAACCCAATGTTTAAAACGTTCCATTTTCTTATTCAATGAATAATTTTTCTTTCGCTATCTGTATAACCTACAATGTTGTGTTGGTGGGTAGTTGTAAGTCAAGAGTGCAAAAGCAGACTTCTGTACTTCTTAGTACATCTCGATACTTCTGTCTAACTCTACTTTGATTGACACCTTTTTTTTACCAGTTTTACTTTGTATAAATAGTCATTTTGTTGTATCAATTTTTAATATTTCAATTAAAAGAACACCTGAAACATGTAGATAGCACAGAGTCATACATAAGACAGGAGAAAATAAAATAGAGCGAACACTATAAATCTGATATCAATGGAAATAGAATTGTATTGCAATGCTTTATACAAATAATCTAGCCGTTCTTTTGTGAATTATCTGAGTCATATTAATTGCTACTTAATAAAATAATGTATAATCAAGAAGAACACCAGCATATGTACGTAACTTCGAGAACAAGATAACTGTGCGAATACAGAAGTTGATTGTAATAAAAATTGAAGACAATGAGTAAAGTAATAATCTTGATGTACATGTGATTTCGGACCTGGTGTAGAAACATTCATGTCCGCAGCCTTTCTTAGATTGCAAGGGTCCATGAGAAGGTGTTTTGGCTCCCTTTGACTATTAAGACTCAATCTAGTTGGATCATATATAGAATGAAAGGTCATAAACTATCGATTGTTATGATGCCGAACTCGAGATATTTTGAATGAGTTATAGATGTAAACAGAGTTTCTGTAATCTGTCGTGACCTGCCCTGACATGTCAGGGTAGATAATCCACAATCTGCGGATCTTTAATACCCATACTTTCGAATCTATGGATGATTGTGAATGTAGCTCTGTGTATATTCATCGCTGACAACTGCATCCAAATTGTACAGTTTTCGCAGTCTACATCATACTTGTCTCAGAAAAACTTATATACATACACATCACGCTCATTTATTGACGCCAGCGTCAGGCCTTCTATGAAACGGTTTCATAGTATCATCTACATAATTTGACACATGAGTACAACTCTAGACATAGAGAAGTAAAGAAAGAGGACGACATCAGTGAACTCTTTTTTTTCCGATGTCCAGGTTATTATTAGAAGTCACTCGTAGTTATAGAGCACTAAAGTTGAAACGTTATTGATTATAAAACGTACAATTCTAGATCTATGGTTGATAAAATTTAGGAAACTTCCATGAAAGTTCACATCTTTCATAAAGTAACATTTTTGTGCAGCATATCAACAAAGAGTTCTAATCATAAATGCAAAAACCAAGAGTCAAATTAATCGAAATAATAATTATTTTGGATTTCCACTTTCTTTAAAGCTATACTTTAATGACCTCTTTCGATTTGTCTACTCATTTGATCATTTTTATTGTGTTCTCCTCTCTAGATCCTAGCTACTGGTTTTCGCATTCTGTTTCTATGATATTTTCATTTGTTACTACCAATAGTATTGTTATTATTGAATATTGCGCATTAATGTATATGAACGTTTTCTCTTCGTTGCGATCTGTTTTGTTTTAGTTTTTTCGTATACCAGTGCACTTTCAACTTAATATGGGTGCTTACTATTATAAACATTAGTTGAGCTTATACATTTTTTCTCATTACAATTGCGTAAATCAACAAAAGCTTGCCAATATCAACAATACAACTAATGAGTTCTGAAAGGAAAATAGAGAATTATTATCAAGATCAATATTTTATTGTACCACGAAGTTACTACGAAAAACTGAATTCGTCGATATCATCGTGTGTGTTAGTTGAAGCAATCGCATAGGACAGTAAAGTTGTATGTAATGTATTTGTTTTAAACATATTTCGAAAGTTTTCATGGATATGTTTTCAAATACTTCAATTAAAATTTAAAATGCTATAGAAAAGACAATTAACAAATATTAGAACGAAAGAATGTGTGGACGAAGAGTTGCATTCGTTGATGGTTTTGTGGAAAATAAGAAATTTACGCAATACATTACTTCTCCTATCTGTGACTACCTAGTCTATTATCATTTTTATCGGTTTGATATGTTGAACGCAACTATTCTGATTTTATTTTAGAACATTTACACTTCTGAGAAACTGATCCGCATACTCACATTGAACACAAGGTAGACTAGGTAAAAACGATAATGAAAGTAGTTTTCTGTTGATTGCTGTCTTATACATGTTCTTTCTTATGTTAGATAAAACGAATATTTTTGGACAAATTCGTATGGAACACTTATTTATTTACTTATTTCCTATACCTGAAGTTCTTTGAAGACCACATAACACAGAATATTAATTTCCTTGAAAAAGGAAATCTATATGAGCGACTTCTGTCTTTACATATTCTGTCTTCTTGAACACTTAGTACGACACATGTTATATTTAGGATACATATTAGAAATTTAAAGCGCATCAAAAATCCGTTTACTAGTACATAAAAACAAGACATCATGTCAAGCAATGATAATGATTCTTCGTTGAACGTTGACAGTCTAATAGAACTGCTTATCAAAGGTCAGTGTATCTGTCTATCCTTTGACGATATTTGATGATGATTTTCTTTTTTGAAGTGCATGGATGCAATTCGTCAGGCCCGATAGTCAACGTATCAGAAGAAACAATCAAGATTTTCCTCAGGCAACCTATGCTACTAGAACTTCAAGCTCCACTTCATATATGTGATACTTTAAGAGCTAAAATTATTGTCAAAGTAAAGTTCAAGTGGTGCATTCTAGTTCTTTTATTTTCTGTGTTACTGCACATGTCAGTTGTCTGAATGAAACGTCGCAGGCATCATTGACTGTAATTTCGTCGAAGAAAGAGGACGACTTTGTCAAACAATGATCTCACTGGATTGATGATACGCCAGTGAGAGAGCAACGAGTAAGATAAGAAGAGATGATAATATCTAACAAAATAGAAGAAAAAAATGCGAAGATGATGCGAGGTATAATTCTACCAGGCAACTCGACTGTTGAATTTCGAGAAGTGCCTATACCACAACCAGGAAAAGGTCAAGTGCTAGTCAAAATTAAGGCATCGTCGATTTGTGGCAGTGATATTCGGTAGGTAATTTTCTTCGTTGCTGACGTTTTCTTTGATTATTTTTTTAGCGCTATCTATCGTGAACATTTGGGTACTGGCGATGAAAAATATCGTAATGTTATTGCTGGTCATGAACCTTGCGGTATCATTGTTTCTGTTGGTGAATGTTGCAAACGTTTTCGCATTGGTGATCGAGTAATTCTCTACCATATTAGTGGATGTGGCTTGTGCTGGGATTGTCAACAAGGCTACATGATTTCCTGCCATTCACCAAACATACGAGCAGCCTATGGGTGGCAACGAGACGGTGGTCATGCACCGTATCTTTTGGCTGAAGAGAACACATGCATTGCGCTACCAGATAACTTAACATATGAAGACGGCGCACTCATTGCCTGTGGATTCGGTACTGTTTGGGAAGCTTTAACACGAGTGAATGTCAATGGAAAAGATCGCGTGTTAGTTACAGGTCTCGGTCCAGTTGGTCTAGCTGCTTGTATGCTTGCTCGTGCGCTTGGTGCTCGATCAGTTTTCGGCTCAGATGTTAGTGCGGAACGGAAAGCACTAGCTAAAGAATTAAAAGTGGTCGATGAAATCGTTTCAACGATCGATCAAACTCTAATTCTAACTGACCAACAGGGTTGTGAAGTAACTATCGATTGTTCAGGTTCTCCACAAGGACGTCATTTTGCATTAGAAGCTACTCGTCAATGGGGTCGTTGTGTCTTCGTCGGCGAAGGTAAAAACGTCCAATTCGATGTTTCACCTCTACTCATTCATAAACAAATAACACTTTATGGATCATGGGTAACTAGTCTCGGTCATATGACAGAATTAACTGAACGTTTATCACGTTGGAATCTTCATCCAGATATGATCGTTACACATCGATTCAGATTAGACGAAGCGGAACAAGCCTACAAGATAGCAGCTGAAGGACACTGTGGAAAAGTAGTAATTGTTTTCAATGACGACGAATAAAATCTTATTTTTCTTTAATTGAATGTGTATATATATTCGTGTACATGTTGCAAGAAGAGAGAAAAAAGAAATCATCTATTTTTATCCTAGGCCAAAACTAATCGTTTGTATGAATCATGACGATAGATAAAAGATCAATGAGATAACACGTTTTAAAAAGTCAAAAATTTCTCTAGATAAATTAATTCAGTCACATATTATCGCGATAGTTTTCTCTCTTATGTCATATGCATATGTGTATTAAGTGTAGATGGGAGACGATAGAAGACCCACATTCACACCCTCCATCGAACTATATGATCAAATGGCCAGCTTCTCTATGCATCAGTACACATTCTAAGATGCTTATTTAACACAATTTTACTCGAAGTTTTTCAAGTTGTGATATGAGTAAAAGATGGTTATTATAACGCGTAACCACTATCCTCGATATACGATGCTCACGTTGCTACTCCGTTATCTTGTTGTGTTCAATTTCACATAGAGCATTACATTATATACGAGAATAAAAAGAAAGAAAAAGGAGAGAACGCTGATATAATAAAGGTGTGGGACAAGAAGATACATACATAACATAATAGCGGGATTTTCCCGGACAAAAAATATCATGTAAGAATGATATCGCGTAAGAGTCATATAATGTAAGAGCGGTGTGCCTATCGGCACAAACGGATTTTCGGAAACTCAAAATGAATTTTGTGAAACTCACATATATTTTGGAAGAAAGTAGTGAATGTATGTTTTAAGGTGAAGGTTTCGCGGCTCCTCCCCTCCCACCTTCTCTTACAGTCAGGCTCCCATTACAGACCGTAGCAACTTCGCCAAAAAAACAAAAAAATTTCTATTCGAAATATAGCGATAAAAAAGACAGCATTTTCTGGTAATCGATTATTATTAGAAAAGAACTATTATCTTTTGGAGAATTTAAATATTGGGTATTTTGTGATCAGTATAATGAAACCAAAGAAGATATGTGAGTTCCACATTTCAACCCCAAAGGGGTTGCGCTAACAAGCTTATCCGGGTGTGAGTATGGGCGAGTTTCTGTAAATAGAACATTCGACTAAACCACACACCCGCATGGACACAGACACCCCACACCTACATTAACAATACGAAACATTGACTTATGAATACAAACAAGGTAAACCTAATAATGAACTTGTTTTTATTGAAAACTAAACGGTCGTCTTGTAACTTTCGCTCGTAATCCATATTTGGCACGCATGGTAATGCGTACATCAGTTGTAATGTTTTGATTCGGTTCAATGGTAAAATCGCATCGTTGCACGAACATAGCCAACATAACTTTGGCTTCGAGCAAAGCAAAATTCTGACCGATACAATTACGTTGTCCAGCAGCGAACGGTAAATAACAGAACGGATGTGTTAATTTGGGTTTCAAACCAGATATTGGATCGCGCAACCATCGTCTATAGTCAAAAACAAGAGCTCGAGGCCAAAAATCTTCCCGTCGATGAAGTAGATAGGTATTGAATGAAATGATTGAACCGACAGGAATACGTAATTGACGTTGACCTTCTTTACCAATCGTGTGTTCTCGAATACATTGTCTTGAAAAGAACGGCGCTGGAGGATAGAGACGAAGCGTTTCTTGTAAGACGGCTTCACAGATGGCTAATTCATTCAAGCGATCAGGTGTTGGCTCGATGCCATTCGGTAGTACTTTGTCGACTTCTTCGCGACAAGCACGCCATACATCTTCATGTGTCATAAGTACGTACATGACCCAAGTCATGAGATTGCCAGTGGTTTCATGACCGGCTAGGACAAAGGTTATGGCTTGCTCTTTGATTTCTTGATCACTAAAAGATTTTCCTTCTTGATCGACAGCAGAAAGAAGAAGATCGAGAAGATCTTGACCACTACAAAGACTACTCGATTGACCATGCCGACGATCATCAATGAGCTGATCAACAAATCGACTAATATCCTGACATGCTTTATCTAAAAGACGTTTGTGCCAGAATGGCAGTCGAGCAACAATCGGAATCGAATCAATCATGCGCATCCCTCGATATTCAATTGCATCAAGAACATCAGTAAATGCTCGAGAAACGATTTCTTTAGCGTTTGCTACTGTTTCAAAATTTTGACCGAATGCACTCGATGCAATTATTGTCAATGTCATAGAATTAAGTGCAGTTTGTATATCGATAAATTGCTTTTGGCTAGATACTAAGACTAGTTCATCGATGGCTTTAGCTGTTTGGTCCGTCATAATAGATATCATTGATTGAAGATGAGTAAAATGAAACGCCGGATTGAGCATTTTTCGAGCACGTTCATGTTCGATGCCCTCACTTACTAATAAATTATGTGTACCGATGAGTGGCGCAAATAGCTTAGCCAAATCGGACGGCTTTTGATAATCATGTACATGTGAATGACCCAAAATGTCGGCAATCAAATCAGGTTCGTTGACAATGAGTTCGACATCAGGACCGAAACCGATGAGATAGACATAGCCATGCTTTTGAGCAAGACTCATTCGATAGGCCATTGAAGCATCATTCTGAATGGCACGATACAAATCGCGCAGTTGGCCAATGAGAGGCACAAATGGTTCGCCTGGCACGCCTTGTCGACGAAATTCATCGTAGAAACGTTTCGGTGTACGAATCAATTTCCAATAAATAAGAACAACAATTGAAATAATCAATGCACCGACTGTATAAAGAACAGCAAGAAGAGTCATATTGCTTTTGTTCTCGTTTTTGCAAAAAATTGACATTCACCTTCATAATATAAGATAATGTTTTGTCGACGTCGCATGACTCTGCAAAATTGTTTCTTTTTCTTTCCTATGACTCGTGTTTAGCAATTTATTCTAGTCACTTTTATTACTGGCTGAAGATTTTTTTTCTTTCTTTCTCGTCGAAGAACAATTAAATATCGGGCCATACTTCTTCGAAGACGTCTAGCTGTCGAAACGTGGTAGTGTTTTCATACAACGTTGCTTGCTGACGTTATGATATTGATATGAATAGTATGCGCAATATAACGTCAAACTATATACTTCAGGCTTGAAGCTGTGTTCGCATAGAAGTCTTCGTAGCTTCTAAGGTTTTCGCTAAATGGGGTGTGAGTGTGGATGTGGGTGGGTCTTCTTCTCACTCACACTCACACTCAAATCAACACCCGAACCAAAGCTCACGAGAACCGATCGGTTTATAAACAGCGATATATATGAGTTTCAAGATACTTAGGATAGAACACACTCGAATTACCCATCTGCATCCAAAATGAAACGCCTATTACCGTAGTCCATATGATTTAAATAATTTATTTTGTGCACCTGAAAAAAGTAACTGTTATTTCATATTCTCATGTCATGCGACGAAAATGTCTCTACAAAGGGCAGAAATATTGTCGATTTCAGTTATTTCTTATTAAGTAGTTTATAGATTCGAACAGTTTCATCAACCACAACCTCCACACACACACATCCACCTCAATCGCCAATACCGCCGCCAATGAATTCTGAGCATCTTTCACCCTTTGACAACAATAAAGGCGTTACAACTACTGCACAAGGGCTCATACATTGACTTTTCATATAGATAATATCGATCAATATTTGTCCATAAGCTGTTTTATCAGCTTTTTCCCATGCTTCGGCTGTTTCTTCGAAAGCTTTGTTTAACACATTTAATTCAACTGCATCGTCATGATTAAGTAAACGACCCCATAATATTTTCGATGCATATTCATACTGTACCGGATGTCGCATATGTGTATGTCATATTAAATCGACATCAAAAGTTGGTATAATCATTTCACACTGTCTAGCTAGTTTCATAAAAGAAACATAATTTTGAACTAATTATTTAAAAAACAGAACAAGTCAGGTGTTTCGAATCGTATGTATAGAGATAATGATTTTTGAATTTACTAAGAAAATCATGTTGCTGACCGACTACCTTGACCAAACCAATTGAAGTTACAAATAATGATTGATCACCAGCAGAGGTCAGTGAAACGAGTGCATGAGATGTTTTGTTGAGATCTAGCTTTAAGTTGCGAGCAATTTTCTCGACAACTTTACCATTGGTCAGTTATGTAATGCAATCATGACTATAACTGATCGCATGAAGACGATACACATGCCAGATCCACTCAATTTCCCAGAGTAATTCGACTTGTTGCCATTGTGATGTCATCTTGTTTGCAGTCATGAGTTTACAATATTCATTAACAAAATAATTTAATATTTGTCCTTGTGCCGTCATTTCTGGATGTGCAATTCCTTGACGAAGTAATATGATATGATCGACTAAATCATGACAGCACAGTGGAAATGTATAACCATCGCTTGTTTGAACTTGTACTTTATAATTCAGAATCCATATCCATAATGAGTTGCCCATTTTCTTCTCTATAGTTTTTATTGATATAATGTAGTAGATATCTTATCTTATATACCTGTCACTGTTGGTTTTGAATTGCATTTAAAAATATCTTTTTACGTCGATTTCTCTTTCTTACCGGCTTATAATAATGCTGTGCAAATTTTGCCTTTTCTTGGTTATTGCGCACATTTTATCATTTCCTATCAAGCTTTGCTAATTCTTTTTTTTGGTTCGTCTTGATAACAGAAGAATGAAGAGTGTAAAAAACATAATATGAAGAACGCAAAAGCTTCAATTGTTATTCCTGTTGAAATTCGTATGTGAGCACAGGGAGCTACTTGAATCGCAAATGTAAATTCTTGCCCGTCTATCAAGACTCTTGAGAGAATCAGAAGAGCAACATGTTGACATATCTCTCAGGATCGATGGAACGAAACTAGATTGGATCCTATTTCTCATTATACACTTCAACAGTCATTAAAGATTGCGTTTCATGAAACTTAGGAATCGATTTCTCACAATACTATTCCATAGAATGGGTATCTTAAAACAATCTATGAAAAACTCAGCATTGCAGGATGTAGACGTAGGTATGGGCGTGAGTGTAGGCCAACCGAGAAAAGGAACATTCATACCACCATACCCACACCCGTGTAAGCCCCTGTTATCTAAAGGTCGTCTGGATATAATTTGAAATTTGGCCAGATATCATCTTGGTGTGCGTCACACAGGGTGTGGGTGGGGGTTAGTGATCTTTCTGCCTAACCATACTCACATCTACATCCACGCCCACACTAAGTTCTGACTGAAAAAAGAATGGGTCCTTGGGAATGTTTCCCGTAAGTTTATGCTCGATAAATCCATTACTGGCTTGCTAAGAACTGAAAGTAGTCTCATGTTCAATCTTCTCGTCGTTTTGTGAAGTTTTCGATGAATCCATTTCAATTTTGTATTTGACATTTTTATTAGTGACCAATCATAGTGATATGACTCGATAGAGAATAAGAAGCATAGTCGAAAATTCAATTATTATAAAATAATTCACGAAAAAGCCAAAGCTCATTGAACCAAAAGCTCAGGCAAATACATCACGCCACTTTTTTCTATAAAATGTAGATGAACGAAGTCCATCTTATTGAGATCAAGTAGATAGAAGCTAATCTGTCCATAGATGCTTAACATAAGTTTTTAAACTGCTCCAGAAGAAAAATAAAAGAACGTTGCTTGATGTCCCAGAGTTTACCCTGAAGACACAAGAGCATCGACATTATGGACTCAGAATGAGTTTGATGCCCTAAATCATATGGAAGTATATGCTGATCTATCATATTCCACAGATCTAAATGCACCCGACTCCTTTCTAGTGTTAAAGCTGAAATATCACCTGCATAAAAGTAGATCAAATAGCAATAATTCCATGCTGCAAATATTTTGAGAGATCATTAACGGTCTCTTAAAAATTTATTTCAAATTCTATCTTCACGAGCTAATTTAATCGAGTGTACCAATCTACTGTTAATGAGGAATGGCGCTTTGAGAAATCACAACAGAAGCAAACTTTGAATATTTCTCCAAGGAGATCGTGAAAAAAATTTTGTAGTGTCATCTGTATTTGAGTATATTATGCCAAAAATCATAAATAAGAACAAATAGAACCATTAGTAAATTTAAGCGGAATAACGAGTATATTGACAAAAAAACGTCTATTGCATTATGCTCATTGTGAGCATCGGTTGAATGGAAAACATAATTAGTTGCGCTTTTGGAATCTATGGATTAGATCACAACAAGGTACAATTTATTAAAACGACACTGTTTGGATCTTTGTACACGTATGTGTGTCAAGGTATTTTCGGCATTGGGCAGTTGGTATTGTTTCAAAAGAATCCACGTACAATTCATTTTAAATTAGTGAATAATTGTCCAATATGCGTACTTTTCGCTACGTCACTGATTATATTGAATAGAAAATTGAACATTGTAAGGATGTTAGGGCAACTTTATATAAATATGTATATCTAAAGAGCTGCCTAGAAAAATATTGATTAGAATTGTATTGCCATTCGAAAAATTAGTACATAACATCAATATCTCATCCTCAATCAAATATATTTGTGTAAAACTGTTTATGATATCAAGTAAATAAAGAGAGATATAATGGTAATGAAGTTTTTATTGTCTTTTGACTATATACCATGTCAATATGCCTCTTTTATACCTTAACAAAAATTTAAACTATGAAACACATAAAAAATATTTCTTCTCATTGTTTAACATAACTAATATTAAACTGCTGTCTAAAACATGAGTATTTTTTTCCATTTGTTAATTTTTTTTTTTCAATAATAATACCAATAGATTCTATTTCATATAAAAATACATTTCTTCGTTTATCTTCTATGAAGAAATTCAAAACTACATGAAATTACTCAATAGTTTTTTTTTTAATAATACCTGCATGTTCACTACAAAATGATAAATGTGACAGTTATAAAACGTACTTTACATAACCAATCTTACACTTGCGTTAAGGTCTGGATGTGAATCTTCTTCAAACTCACACCCACACTCACACCCAGTTTCATAATTAGATCTTTTTTCAAATGAGATACTGTTAATAAGTTCAATACAAACAGAAAGAAAAAAATCACAAAATTAAAAAAAAAAAGAATGATTTATCATTATGTAGCGAAGCACTTTCACATATTAAAAATTAAAGTTTTCGGTTTTTGATGAAGATTTAAGAAACAACAATGTTTGTAGATTATTTTTTTCCATATTTCTTTTTCATGTATTCACGAACATTGGGATGAATATTTTGTTCGACATTTGCGTTCATGGTACTTGGGTTTTGAAAATAGTTGCGAATTTCTGTTGAACTGACCTCCGTGAGTTTTGTACGTTCCTTTGATAATGGAATGTAAATGATTTTTGATGTTTTGTCTGATTGATTAATATGTTCTTCGCCATATCCATGACGGTAGACTATAGCACATGATATGTTATCTTGTTGTGCCATGAGTTGAACATAAAGACATTTATTAAAATGATCTAATCCACAAACATATACAATACACAATGGATATTTAAGAAGTTTTTCTTGTTTGACAAGTTTCATATTAAGAAAGTCACGAAGATTTTCAGTGACAGGACCAAAATCCACAAATCCATTAGCCCATTCACTTTCACCACGAGAAACACTCATCCAAGATGATACTGCCGCACCTTCATTTTCAATAGCTTCTTCACAAAGTTGACATCGATCCTTAGCTGGAATCCACGCTATGTCTCCTAATTTATCATGGACATATGAGTCACTTAAATATATAATCATATATATAGAAATCAAAACTAAATGAAAAAAACATACTGTGTGGGTGAAATATACCCTGCAAGGACATTCCATGAAGGTTGATGAGTATGCTCCAGATAATCTTTGACCAGCAGAAGGTTTTGAAAGTGTAACTTATGAACAGGATTGAAAGAACCAGTCATAAGCAAAACACAACTACGCATAAAAGACTATTGAATCAAGTATTGAACATGTACTTTGGAGAAAAATACTCAGAGTTCACAACACAGAATAGGAACCAAGAATATTATCTTTAATTGTTGAGTAGTCTCGAAAATTATGTTTTAAACATTATTTGTAGTTCTTGAAGAAAACAAGTAAAAGTAGATATGGTATTTATTTTAAGTTATCGTCAGCAGAATCTTTGTGTTTCTATACAATCACATCATTTCTCTTGGACTCTTACAAACAGTTATATCTATTCTTTTATATTCATGTCTCACTCAGAGATTGTTGACACATGCTTAGCTATTAAAAGAAGCTCTGCGCTTCAAAATAGTTAAACGATATGAATGTACAGGTGTGAGTGCGTTAGTACGACTCTTGTAGTCATCTACGCACGTCATGTAATAACTTACTTATAAGGACTATCCGTCAAATGTCGCATTCTACAATTGTTTAACAGTTTGTCGATGTTTGTATTTGCTGGATTGTGCATCATTTTACTGGTTGTGTGTACGGAAGCACTAAAATTGTTACCACTACTTGTGCCATGATAAATATCGGCAGTAGTAGCAGTTGTTTTATTAGCATTTGTATCATTTTCTGCAATCATAGGCAAAGAGAAACTTAATAAAGCATATTCATATTGTCGACAAATATTACAAAGGGAGGTAAACTATCATTTAAAATAGAATCAATAAATATTTTTTCAAAATTTGATAATACGATCAAAGACGAAATCAAATTCATTCAGAAGAAAATTTCTCGGCCGAAAAATTTCGGTTTCCAGTATTTCCAGTCTTGATAAATAATGTACTATCAGTGTCAGCTAGAAAACATTGGAACATGGTAAGAATTCGAAAGCAGGAATATGATAATGGGGCGCGGTGACTAAAAGTGTCTGGTTTCAGTCGAAACCAAGAATAGGCTACCGTCGATTAGAATCATCCTATTTGTGCTGACAACTTTTCCCATTGGAATTGGCATTTTTTTTTGACAGATTCTAGTTAGGAAAAAAACGAATTCATCATTGAATTGGAGATGGATTCTTTTGTGCGATAGGATGCGTTGAAAACTGAACAAAATGCTCAAAAGCGCACCGAAAGCCGTTCCGAAAAACTCACTGGAACTACTTCTTTAAAATTCGTAAAAAAAATGAGCTAAGGCATACTACTCATAATTTGATTGTAGTAACTTCAACTAAAATAAAAATATATGGAAATTCAAGTAATTATTTCTACATTAACAATTGTTTCGACTGTTCTCATGTTACATTGATTACAATTCTCAAATTTTAATACATATTCAGTATTATTTAATGAAGTCTTTCTTTATCATGCTGATTTTCGTATATTTTATCAACTTTCCTGAAAGTTCTGAGTGTCTACAACTTAATGAAGTATGATAGCATTAGAGATGTCTCGCTTTCAGTTTACTTACTGGAGTTTGACTTTTTTTTAAGTGTTGATACTCGATCGAAATTGACAAAATTCCGCAAGTCATGAACTTCAGAAGATACAATAATAAATTTTTGTTCTGTTTCGTTTAATTCCGATTGAACGATTTGCTGTGTTTTTGCTCGATCACTAGTAAAAATCATGCATTTATTTCTGAAGCCTAGTTTTCGTATGGCTTTGATAAAACGTGTGCCTGCATTGTGTACGGAAGATTCATTTTCACGATTCATGTCGGTAACAATACGAAACTTATCTTGATTTTTCAAACGTTGCCCGAATGGTGATTGAAGAAATGAGAGAGCACTATCAGTACATGACTTTGGTATAAAGTGCACATTCATAGCAAGTTCTTGGACTGCCGCATATTCCATGTGTTTTTTATTTTCCCAATTTTCATTAAATATTCGATCATCTACCCACAATACCGACCATTCACATAGACCTAGCTCGATCTGTCGCATATAAATTACCTGTTTTCCTTCTGCATAAACGGTTTTTCGATTGAAAACGAGAAAAGTAGAATGAGGTAAAAATAAAACTTCGTCTTCGTCTGGATAATTAGAAAATTCTTTAATCGGACGACCAGTTAATGAGAAGATTTTAAAAAGGGTATTTCGGTCTGAAAAAGCTCCTGAACCCACTGCCTTTTTACCTTTTTTTGAGCTACTAAATTGAATCCAAGTAATTAAACTACCAGGTACGTAGATTAACAGCTCTTCCATTGTCAGTTGACAAGCTCTTGTAACATAGCCCCAGTAAAAGGGTATGTACGAAAGTGCTTTGACCAAGTAATACAAAATAATAGCTGCTTCATTCATTTCTTCTTCAATTTGTTCTTCAATAGCTTCACCATGATTTCTATGAGCCAGAAGTCTGGCACCTCGACTACATGTTTCACTCTTTGCACCAGTGTAAAACGAAATAGAGAACGCTAAAGCTTTTGCTTCTTCAATAGACAAATTTTTATTTTTGAACTGTGAATATGATTGATTGGCACGACTCTCATGCTCAGCCATTACTTCATCGATATTAACTCCATCTGTTTGTTCGTATTTTCGACAGACTGCTTTTAGCTTCTCGTATGATGAGCCTTTTTCAATCATATTCACCAGAGAAGAATTAAAATTATCTTCATAAACAAAGTAAATTTTACGTGCATTTTCGAGTTCCTCTGATTGTCCTTGTGACGGAAAGTGCTTCAGAATTGATTCAACTTTTTCGGATTTTAATACTTTGTATTCAGCTTGATTTTCGTCATCTTCACTAGTTGACATTACTTCTTGTGACTCACCCATTTTCTGTAAGATTGGTAAATACTCAGCTGGTAAAACGCCAATCAGTATCATATAACAACTGTGTTGTAGACGAAACATAGGTCCAGATGATGATGGCTTAAAAGCACATAACTCTTTCAGAATATCTTTTGTTTCTCGTACCATATTTTGTATTATGTTCAGACTAAAATAATGAATCGTAAATAATTCAATATACTCAAAAGAAATCGTATTTTTTAAGTGGATGTGACTGTTTCTTTTCGCTAACATTCGCACCCATACTCAGAAAAAAGTTTTGCAACATTTTGCTCTCGCAACGTTCTGTCTATGCAACGAGTATTATGCGACAGAAAATTCGATCACCAAATTTTGTCACATCACGAGCGTAAAAAAAAAATAAGTTTTGTTTCAAAACTACCAATGAATAACTCTTCTTTCATTGCCAATACTATGTCAACATTTTTTCTTACAGAAAAGAAAAAAAAACATTATTTGTTCTGCCCAAAAGTGCTCTTTGCAGGCTGTTGTTAATGGCTGAATTCGTAAGTATGATGTAACATTATATGTGTTCTCAATGACGGCATTTCTGAGTGTCACATAGTGAAAACAAATACATTCAATACTACATTTGTTTTCTCTCCTTTTCTTTCGTTCTCTTTAGTTTTTGTTATACATTCTGAGTAACTAGATAATACATATATTGTTTCGTTCTTTCTCCTATGTCTAAATTTAGTCTCATATTACGTATTTCTTTTTGATTTTGTTTTCTTTGTATTGCGTATTTCCTTTTTCATATATTTCTTTTGTTATTGCGTCAATTGGTTGCAACATTATCTTTTTACCTTATTACTGTTTAACACGTCAATAAACTGATATTGACCTATCTCTTCTTCTTCATTGATACGCAGCACAAGACGTGACACTGAGTGTTATAAGAATTGAAAAAAATTCAGAGAAATTTCCAAATCCAATTTCTTTCTCGTGAGTTACAAGAATGTCAAATTTGAAATTTCAGTGTATCTCTGGGCATACGTGTGAGATGTGTGTGTCTCTAGCAAAATATAATCCATTTTAATCTTGCCAGAGAGTCTCCTCAAATACGTTCGACCTTGTAATTGTTTAAAATGATCCGAAAATCATAAACAAGATACCTTATTTATTTCAAACTGCGAGAAATTCGCAAGGAATAATCGAAACTTAGGTGTAAGGGTGTGGCTGTGGCTGTAAGTTTCGTGATGGATGTTGCTTCTCTC